AATTTAATTTAGATTAGGTAATATTGATGTATTATTCTGATGTAATTAATAGTTTGATAATAATTTCCATTCATATACTCAATCAGATAATTAATTAGTTTTCAATTCTTGTTTTATTTAATCCTCTTTATTTATGTGAATATGCTTAATTAAATTTTCAGTTTTATTTAATGGCTTTTATTTATATATTGTTTATTTTTATGCTTGATAGTTAATTTGCATTTATAATTTGAAGTAAATAAATAAATAATGTAAATTAAAAAATGTATAAGCAAACGTGTTAAAAAATAAATAAATGTGATAAATGAGTCAGTAAAACAAAACAAATAAGAAAAATAATACAGTATGTTTGTTAATTGTATTTAATTATTATTTATTTATATGCCTTATAATTCATTTGCTTGTGTAATTTTAAGTAAATAAAAAAATAAATGAAAGTAATTAAAAATATGTATAAGCAAGCATGTTTAAAAATAGATAAATTAATCAGTAAAACATAACAAATAGGAAAAAATAATACAGTATGTGTGTTAATTGTATTTGTTTATTTATTAAAATTATTGTGTATTTATATGCTTAATAATTAATTAACATTTATAATTTTAATTAAATAAATAAATAAAATTAAATTAAATGTACATAAGCAAAAGTCAATAAATAAATAAAAGTTAATAAAAAAAAGAAAAAAATATATATATATATGCAAGCGTGTTTAAACAAATAAATAAATGTGGTAAATGAGTCAATAAAGTATGTTTGTTAATTGTATTTATTTAATCATTAAAATTATATATTTATATCCTTGATAATTAGTTTGTATTTATAATTCGAAGTAAACAATAAATAAAAAAATATATATATATATATATATATATATATATATACATATATGCAAAGATGTTTAAACACATAGATAAATGTTTTACATGAGTCAGTAAAGCAAATAAGAAAAGTACAGTCAAATTGTATGTCTTTATTCATTAAAATTAAATAACAGTAAATGTTTATGTTAGTGCTTATATATCCAGCTAGTGTACAAAAACCCAAGAATGATTTGTACATTATTATGTCATCTCATGATTTTGCTCTCCAGCAAATTGTCTCCCTCACGACAACAATAATTTCTTTCAGCTGTGAAAGACTCAATGAGCTCCAGATTTGTGGAATTCATGAAATGTCAACAGTAACTGTATTTCCAAGGCGACAGACGAGAATAGATACTGTTGGTTTTTCATTCTTCGAAAATAATTCATGCATTCTAAACTCCGTATGGCCTTCAGCGGCGGATGATTATTAGTGTGAGACGGGCTCCGGTTAATTTGAGCGTGAAATCTGCAAGCATACTGTAGATAATACGGTGAATATCTCTCCTCCCGAGGGAACAGGGCCATTGTTTGGAGACTCTTAATCAGTATCAGGCTCCGTCTCTGGATTAATGGAAAAGCTGGGCTGAGGAACTCCAGTCCACAGTCTCTGAGAATTCCTGGAGCAGCTTGAGCTGGCTATCGATTCAGATTCCCTCCTGATTCACAAGCCTTTGATTTGATTCAAGTTGCATGGTTACATTAGAATAGAGCCATGTCTCTTTTTTTTAGATGCATGGAATACGTTAGGGATAAAGTATATACAGCAAGTTGTTATTGCAGAATAAAGCCTGGACAGGCTCATTGGCATCCCAATGTAAAGCTGAGGGCTGTTGTATAAGATTGAAGAGCTTTATTTTGCCAAGAATAACCATATTTGATGCACATTATCCTGCTTATTACATGGCTACTTGTCACAAAAATATACTAATTAGACACAAAACATTTTCTAAGCCTTAATAGTTAATTAACTCTTTAATTAAATTCAAAGCTGATCTAAACAAAACTGGCTGAGTGGAGCTGATGGAGCATACACTAACTTGCACATTATTCAGTCACAAAATGGCACCAAGCAGTCATAAACCCAAAGCTGGCAGAAACTAAACCGGCTGGGTGAAGATAATGGAGCATACACTAACCTATGCATTATTCAGTCACAAGATGGCGCCAAGCAGTCATAAACTCAAAGCTGACAGAAACTTAGTTGAGTGGAGCTTATTGAGCACACGTTCACCTGTGCATTATTCAGTCACAAGATGGCTCTGAACAGTCATGAACGCAAAACTGATAAAAAAGATCTGTTGAGTGGAGCTGATGGAGCATACACTAACCTGCACATTAAACAGTCACAAGATAGTCCCAAATAGTCATAAATCCAAAACGGACAGAAACAAAATCTGTTGAGTGCAGCTGATTGAGCATACACTAACCTGCACATTATTCAGTAAAAAGAGGCGCCAAATTGTCATTAACGCATAGCTGACAGAAATGAAACCAGCTGAATGAAGCTGATGGAGTATAAGCTAACCTGTACATTATTCAGTCACAAGGTGGCATCCAAACAGTCATAAATGCAAGACTGACAGAGACAAAACTGGCTTAGTGGAGCTGATGGAGCATAGACAAACCTAAGTGTTATTCGTTCACAAGATGACGCCAAACAGTCATAAACGCAAAGCTAACAGAAACAAAACCGGCTGAATGGAGCTGATGAAGCATACACTAACCTGTGCATTATTCAGTCACAAGATGGTGACAAACAGTCATAAATGCAAAGCTGACAGAAACAAAACCGGCTGAGTGGAGCTGATGAAGCATACACTAACCTGTGCATTATTCAGTCACAAGATGGTGACAAACAGTCATAAATGCAAAGCTGACAGAAACTAAACCGGCTGAGTGGAGCTGATGAAGCATACACTAACCTGTGCATTATTCAGTCACAAGATGGTGACAAACAGTCATAAATGCAAAGCTGACAGAAACAAAACCGGCTGAGTGGAGCTGATGAAGCATACACTAACCTGTGCATTATTCAGTCACAAGATGGTGCCAAACAGTCATAAATGCAAAGCTGACTGAAACTAAACCGGCTGAGTGGAGCTGATGAAGCATACACTAACCTGTGCATTATTCAGTCACAAGATGACGCCAAACAGTCATAAACGCAAAGCTGACAGAAACTAAACCGGCTGAATAGAGCTGATAGAAAATACACTAACCTGTGCATTATTAATTCACAAAATGGCAGCAAATAGTCATAAACGCAAAACTGACAGATACAAAACCGCCTGAGTGGAGCTGATGGAGCATACACTAACCTGCACAATATCGAGTCACAAGATGCTGCCAAACAGTCATGAATGCAAAGCTGACAGAAACTAAACCGCATGAGTGGAGCTGATGGAGCAAACACTAACCTTCGCGATATTCAGTCACACGGTGGCACAAATCTGACAGAAATAAAATCAGCTGAATGGAGCTAATAGAGCATACACTAACCTGCACAATATTCAGTCACAAGATGCTGCCAAACAGTCATAAATGCAAAGCTGACAGAAACGAAACGGGCTGAGTGGAGCTAATGGAGTATACACTAACTTGCACAATATTCAGTCACAAGATGGCAGAAAGCTGACACAAACAAAACCACTTGAATGTGGCTTATGCTAACCTATGTATTATCCGTTCACAAGATGGCAACAAACAGTCAAAAACCACATTGTGTCAGACAAGCAGATACACACCCGGATAAGCATGTGTAATTTAGCAGTTGGTATATGGGGTTATTACACTGCTGTCTGGGATTTTTACTTCTGATTGGTCAGTCGGGACATTACAAGCTAGGTTTTTCCCAGATAACAACCTTTGAATAACACAGGCTCATCTGGGAACTTCAAATCACCATAATTGTCACTAAAAAAGCTCACATCCATATACTTACATCCACATTCATGTGTCTGCTTGTGTGTCTTGATGCTGTGCCATCTTGTGCATCTTGGTGCCATCTTGTGTATCGACGAGTAAATGAACGTAACACGAGTCTCGATTTGTGTGTGTTAAATCAAGTTTACTTTGTTCAGTCACGTAACTATAATAGATTTCTACACAGCAGCATATTTATTTGTTTAGTAGGCATGCTGTCACATTTGTCGCGAGTAGATGAGCTAAAACAGTGCACGTGTTTATTTGTTTGTTTGTGTGTGTGTGTGTGTGTGTTTGCAGTGAACGTTTTCATTTTATTTGCATGTGGCTCATTCATCTGTGGTATTTGTGAGTGTGGATCTTGGTTTCATCTGCAATCCTGATATCTGATCCTAGTTATCCTTCTCTGAATAACCGTATAGAGTGGGCGGGGACAGCCAGCTCATTTGCATTTAAAGGCACAGGCACATAAACAGCTACAATTGCCTCAGACCCAAAAATTTACGTTTTCAGCAGGGTATAATAAAATATCTGATGGGTGTTTTGATCTGCAACTTCTTAGACACATTATGGAGACACAATAGACTTATTTTAAACATTTTAAAAAAGCTAAAATGGCAGTACAGTGGCTCAGTGGTTAGCACTGTCGCCTCACAGCTAGTAAGTCACTGGTTCAAGTCCCAGCTGGTTCAGTTGGCATTTCTGTGTGGGGTTTGCATCAGTGTTTCTCAGTACTGGGTTGCAGCTAGATGGGCATCCGCTGCGTAAAACGTATGCTGCAATAGTTGGTGGTTCATTCCACTGTGGTGACCTCTCAATTTAAGTTGAAGGGAAATGAATGAATGACTGAAAAAGGCTAAAATTGGAGCACTTTAAACACATGTTTGACTGTTGAAAATTAGAAAAAATATAGCAACACCATGTTTATGGGTTCGATTCCCAGGGATCTGATAAACATATGAGTTTAGCATGTTGTAACTGTCATATGAGGTCATTTTATAGCACCCCAGTGTCTAATGAAATATTGGGAGCCGCCACTGGCTCTTCTTTAGTTTGATCAGATTTATAAAGCACAGCATGCAAACATATTGATCCGGGCTGTCCACATCAATGAATCGTCCTATGTTTCAGAGCTCAATGCTTTTCTTTCTGTATGCATGTATACGGTGTTGATGTTTATTTTAAAGGCATTTGTATGTGTGTGTGTTGCAGATTTCCAGTGGGTTCAGGGCGATGTGTGTGAGGTGCAGTTAATGGTCTACAATCCAATGCCTTTTGAACTGCGAGTGGAGAATATGGTAAGAATATATATGTATATATATATATATATATATATATATATATATATATATATATACACAGTTTAATGAGCTAATGATCAGAATCCAGCCATCATTGGTTCTCAAAAAGATATCTATTTTTGTTTATTTGGGGTTTTACTTTCATTCTTTGTTTTTATTTTTTTATTGTTTTTGTATTATTTATTTATTTATTTTTTATTATTATCAGGGCTTGACATTAACTTATTTGATCACCAGCTACTATGGCTAGTAAATTTCCAACATTACTAGCCAGTCACCATTTTCACTAGCCACACTTTTCTTGTTGGGAAAATATATTTTGCTTCAATTTGACTGACATGCTAACATGACTTGATTTAGATGTTGTGTTGTCCACATGCCTTCTCATTCATTTCAATTTTGTGTGTGTTGTGTATTAGCTTGCTCAGTGTGCATGAGCAAATGTGTTGTGTCACAATGCAATCAGTTTTTATTTCACAGGACTTTATAGGGCTCAAAATTAAAGATTTACCAAATTTATCTCTGACCACAACAAATAAGTATTTCTTAGCCACAATTTTTTAATGTGTAAAAACAAGGAAAATATAGCTTCATAGGTGCACTTTTTAGTTCAACAAAACTTTTCTTTAAAAAAAAAAAAAAAAAAAAGCGATTTTTAACAGTCGCGCGCATCACATCAGCAGTTAGCGCGAGTGATCTTGCTGTATTCACCATTGTTTGCTTGTGCGAACAGTTATTTTTTAGTCAGTCGTGCTTCTTCTCGATTCTAATATCACATTTGCACAAATATTGGGCCATGCTTATTGTCGAACCCTGCTTTTAAGAAGACTACAATTTAAAAATGATTTCCAACCAGCCAAAGAGGTAGAAATGTCTGTCTAACCCGCCAGAGCTGAAATCTACCCACATTTGGCTGGTTTGCGGGTGTTAATGTAAAGCCCTGATCATTATTTATTATTTAGTTTTACTTATTAAACAGTTAGTTGTAAAAGTTGTCTGTTCTGTGTATTTGTTTTCAATATTTTTTTATTTAGAGTGTTGCGTACATGACAAAAAAGTTGTTTGGAATTGTGGATTGTGTTTGTGTGTGTAAAAGAGATCTGCCCCAGATGGGCTCAGTGTGATGTCCTATTAAATCTGTGTCAGATGGCACTGCTGATGATGCCAGGATGAACCAGTATGACCTCACACTGATGACCTCACCCTGGCGACACTCTATAAATCACATCTACCACAAGGCTTTCTTTTTTTAAATATTTCCCAAATGATGTTAAACAGAGCAAGGAAATGTTCACAGTATGTCTGATAATATTTTTTTCTTCTGGAGAAAGTCTTATTTGTTTTATTTCATCTAGAATAAAAACAGTTTTTAATAATAAAAAAAAACATTTTAAGGTCAAAATTATTAGCCCCTTTAAGCTATTTTTTTTCCATAGTCTATCTAACTAGAGGTCAAGTTGTTATTTGTTGCTCTTACAACTGGGATCGACGACAATGCTTTTGTCTGGTAGTGAATATGCATATATTTAAGTATAAGATTATTTCTATTTAAATATGAATCATAGACCTAAATTATTATGTAACAAAATTATTAAGTATAGTTTTGTTTATATCACATATACATAATAACAAATACACTCACGGATATTATCAAAACAAACACTCATTTTGGATATGATTATTCATCATCATCATTAATCCTTGCCCAGCACTAATATATATTTATCATCACATATAGTCGCGTATAGTATATTAGTATTTATGTATTATATATTAATATGAACTTTGTAATAACTTTTTACAGATTTAAATGTTACATGTAAATCTTTAAAAATCATCACGCACACATACACACAGACACAGAGACACATTTAGTTGCATCTCTTATAATGTCAGCTTGTGCCGCTTGCTTTGAAAGTGTTTCTCTTCTAGGTATTGGTTTCATTCTGCTCTTGGTTTAATGAAGTGCCTGTAATTACGGAGCGGCGCTTTTCAAAAAAGGGTCATTTCATTTTTGTCAGGTGGAACCAGTAGAAAAAAGACCAACAAAGAGCAAAATTTCCATGGCTTTTTTATTCAGAACGCACACACACACACACACACACACACACACACACACACACACACACACACACACACACACACACACACACACACAAAACAGATCGTTAGCTTTAGCAGTCAGGCTAATTAACCTTTTCAAGAAGGAAATTTAAATGAGTTATTTCACAGTAGTAAGATGGTCCCCATTATGTGTGTTGTGCAGGTTTTACACTGCTGTGTTTTAAAGGTGAGATCATTCGTCATCATTGCAGATGAAACATATTTATGGTTTGACTACATTAAATCATTTGTCTCAAGTATAGCGGAGCTAATAATGCTGCATTAAGTGATTTTAGATATTTTATTGACTTCAGACAAACTTGAATATTGACTGATGGGGAATTTGGCGGTCACTGTTTTTAATAGAAATAGTCATATCCAGACACATTGACAAATCTAAAAAAGTCTAGTTCATAGTTATGAACTGAAAAGGGCTGGATTTTTCTGTCTTTGCTGTTTATGTTTAGTCCAAAGCATTTTTTTTTCTCAGAGAATTTAATTTAAGTTAATTTAATTTAATTTAATTTAATTTAATTTAATTTAATTTAATTTAATTTAATTTAACTTAACTTAACTTAACTTAATTTAATTTAATTTAATTTAATTTAATTTAATTTAATTTTATTTTATTTTATTTTATTTTATTTTATTTTATTTTATTTGAAATATGTATTTGTATTTTGTATTGCTTTTAATTTAGGGTGCTTTCACACCTACACTTTTGTTTCGGAACGTATCTCGTTTGCCCAGTTAGCGCGGTTCGATTGGCATATGTGAACAGGGCAATCGCACTCTGTTCCGCGCCAAAGTAATCGCTCCGAGATCTCTTGAGTGAGGTGGTCTCGGCTCGATTTAAACGAACCCTGGAGCGGTTCGATTGCAGTGAGAAAGCGATCCGATCCGAGCGCGGTTATATGACAGTGTTTTATGGATATAAGCATACGGCTATATGAAGAGAGAATTATGAGTAGGGCGGGAAGTTTCGCGAGTCTCCGGATGCCCGCAAACGAGTGATGATCTCCCGGTAATCTCGTGTCTCTCTCCCAGTCCTCAAATAGGCATCATCGCGCACCCTTCTCACCCCTCCCCACCGTGTCTCTCCTCAGACACGTCACGCGCGCGCACCCTGTCAATCACCACCAAACCACCACCTCTCCTGACAGCTGAGCGGGACGCTGCAAAATAAACCCTGACACTCTGACCAATGTGAGGAGAGTTTACTCGCACGTGACTTGTTTTAGCTCTTTTGGTCCGATTAGAAACTTTGCAGTCTGAAAGCGAACCGCTCCAAGAGCAAAGAGCAACAATGTAACAATTTTAATCTCTGTTTCGGAACAACTGAATCGATTCACAGGTGTGAAAGCACCCTTAGTTTAACTTGTTGTTTTGGCTTTTTAATTAGATTTATTTTTTATTTTTTGTTGTTTATTTAGTTTATTTTGCTATAATTTTATTTAGTTCATTCATTTCATGCATTTATCAATATTCATTCAGTCATTCAATGTAATTCTTTAATGTAATAATGAATCCTAATTAAAATAAAATGAAATATATTAATTTTATTTATTGCAATTAATTATTTGTTTAATTTTATTTCTCAGAACAAATATTTATTTTTTTTCAAATTTATTACATTTTTTCTTTAAAATTTATTCTATTTTTATTTAACTTTTTATTTATTCATTTAGTTTATTTTGCTATAATTTTAATGTATATGTTTACTTTTTATTTACTCTTTTTTGTTAATCTTTCATTTATTTCATTTATTAATGTCCATTTTTTTCACATTTAATTTTTTTAATTTTATTTTACTTTTGCTTTTTGTTTTGTTCAGCGTTGCATTCATTTTTTATTATTGTATGTATTTATCCCATTCAGTCATTCAGTGTAATCTCAGTTTCATGTCACAGAGACACTAGGTGCAGATATCAGTGAAGTGAAAAATCCTCCAATAGTTGATTCTTCCTGCTCTCATTGTGGGTCTAATATGATAAAAGCTCAGGAAACACATTTTGTGTAGTGTGAATGGTATGTCTGTGTGTCTGTGTATGTGTGTGCGCTGGATGAATAGAAGACAGCAGTTCCACTTCTCCAATAATGCTGAAGGTGTAAAGCGGCTGCGTTTCAATCCGCCGCTGCTTTTCTCTGTAGTGCTGCGAACAAGAGCAATTTTCTCCATGGGTGATGAGCAGAGCATGCTGGGAATGATTTCATCTCCTCCAGATCAGATGGATATCACCGTGATTGATTACGTGATGTTTGGAGGAAAAAGAAAAAAACTTGAACATCCTTAAAGCTTTGGTCCACCTGTGTTTTGGTCACAAATCTGTTTTTGGTTTCTGCATTTGCTAATTTGTTCTCATTATTGTGTTTAAGATTAAGTTTAATTATTTGGTTTTTGTTTAAGGCAAGACTCTGGTTGTTTTAACTTTTTTTGTATTACAAATTTATTATTTTTTTTAATTTAATTTAATTTAATTTTATTTTATTTAATTTAATTTTATTTTATTTTATTTTATTTTATTTTATTTTATTTTATTTTATTTTATTTTATTTTAATTAATTTTATTTTATTTTATTTTATTTTATTTTATTTTTTTATTTCCTAATAACCACATTGATCTAAATTACCACATTTATATTGGTTTGTTTAGTGTAAAATACAATTATTGCATGTACATTTAAATATTTTTTTTATTATTTTGAATAAAATTAATTAGAATGATTTAATTTAATTTAGCTTTAATTTGACTTTTTATTCATTTCATTTTTTATTTAGTTAATATTTAATTTTACCCATTAATTTTCATTGTCATTCAATTTAATAATTTACCGTAATAATCGATCTTAATTAAAATAATATGTAAATAATAAATTTTTACTTTTGTTTAATTGTATGCCTCAGAACAGATATTTCAAATGTATTTTAATTTAATTATTTATTATTCAACTATTATTTTGTCATTTTTATTTTATTAACTATTTTTTGACTATTTATTTAATCCATTATTTATTCAATGTTCAATGATTAATGTATTGATTTTGTTTATTTTGTTAATATTTTATTTGATCCTTAAGTTAAATAAGTGAAATATAAGTATTTAATTTAACTAAATGATTTTTTTTAATCAAAACAAATATTTCAGATTTAAAAAAATAATAATTTAATTAAACTTTTATTTTGCTTTTTATTTATTGTACTTCTTATTTATTCAGATTTTTATTTTAGTTTGATTTTCCTTCTTATTTATTCATTCCCCTTTTAGAGTCAGGTGTGTGCCATGGCACATTTGCTATTTATATGGCGGACATTGTAAGTGGAAAAACTGAACGCCTCAATGGCACAGTCTATTTTAGTTTCGCAAAATAGTAACTTGCCAACAAGGTGCATAAACACACCTCTTATATTGACTAGCATACCTATGAAAATATATAGTTATATTTTATTGCTGGTTTTGTCTAGGTTTACTTTCGAATAGTCTAGATTTATTAAATAGTTATGTCCCGATTTTTCTTTATTGTTTTAGGTTTAGTCTAGATTTATTTTGTAATTGTTTTGCCTAGATTTATTATTCACGTTTAGTTTTTGTTTGTATGTTTGTTTTTAACTTGTTTTAACTTATTGATTTATTAAATAGTTTTATCTAAGTTTATTATAAAATTTGTTTTTATAAGATGTATTATTAAATCATTTGGTTTTTATTAGATTTTAGGGTTTTAGATACATTTCTAAACCGTTTTATCACAGTTTTAACAAGTTATTGTTAAAGTTATTGTTTATATTTTTAGTTTATTTATTTATTTAAACTTGTTTATTTATTAAATTGTTCTGTCTATATGCTTGTTCTTAAAATAGGTTTATAAGATTTATCATTCAATTTTCATTATCTTTATGATGTTTTGTTTAATCTAGTTGTATTATTAAAACTTTTAACCACCAGATTTGTTATTGTTTTGTCTAGATTGAATTTTGGTTAGTCTTAATTTATCTATCTATGATTAGTTTAGTCTAGATTTATTATTAAATTAATCTTAATTTATTATCTTTTTCTAGATGCAATCTCCTCACCCAATATGTGCTATGGCTTTGTCTCCATGGACTAAATGTGTGTGTGTGTGTGTGTGTGTGTGTGTGTGTGTGTGTGTGTGTGTGTGTGTGTGTGTGTGTGTTTTTTTTTTTTTTTGTTCCTCAGGGTCTGTTGACATCCGGTGTGGATTTCGAGTCTCTTCCTGCTGCTCTGTCTTTACCGGCGGAGTCTGGTCTTTATCCGGTTACTCTGGTTGGAGTTCCTCGCACTGCAGGCAACATCACAATCAACGGTCAGATTCAAACCCTGCCATTATGTTAATGTTTGGATAACTAAACATTAATAATTAGTTCAGACTTGTCTAACTAATTAAATTTAGTAAAGTAACACAAAAAGTTTACAATTTAGAGTGAAGTTAGAGTAAGTTAACAGTATGATTATCATTTTTATTTTCCACAGGTAATATTGTAGCCCAGTTTTTTTTATCAGTCAGGAGTATATTGCAAATATTATTGAGTGAACACTGAGAGCATTATGTAATTGGCGTATTAATATTGCACAAAAAGTAAATAGGGTTGATTTAGATTTCATCAGTATTCTTTTCCAGTGCGCTTCAAAAGCAACCGGACCAGCAACGACCAAAATAAAATAAGAAATTAGTTTCCACTGAACATTTATGCTGGACCGTAATGCTGTAATAATGCCTGAAATCAAAGTCTAGCGTTTCTCTGCTCAAATAAACCAGCTAAATATCCTCTCATTAAAACAGGATAAACTCCTTGATCCCTGCTTTATGGCCATTCCAGCCGTTCGGAGCGTCTACAAATCAAGCGCGTTTCAGAGGACTTTAATGAGCTCTAATTGCCTTCAGATCATTAGTGTGATGTGATGTTGTTGGTTTTGCAGGTTATCACACGTCCGTGTTCGGGGTGAGCAGTGACTGTATCCTGGAGGGTCTGATGGGGGTGAAGAGCAGCGGGTGTATGGTGGAGGTGGTCCCGTCGCTGCCTCGACTGCAGCTCAGCACGTCTTTACCCAGGTTCACATCTATTTCTTCTTTATAATAGCGTTCATTCATTAACTTTCCTTCAGCTTAGTTCCTTTATTCATCACAGCCGAATGAACCGCCAACTTTTCCAGCATATGTTTCACACAGCAGATGCCCTCCCAGCAGCAACCCAGTACTGTGAAACATCCATCCACACTCATTCACAAACATACACTACGGCTACTCGAACCAGCAACTATCTTGCTGTAAGTGACATTGCTAACCACTGAGCTACCGTGTCACCCTTTATAATAGCAAACAAAAACAATGTTAAAGCAACACTTCAATATTTACAAATCATTTTGAAGCATATCTAAGCAGTTTTTAAATCCATTCAGTCGATCTCCGGGTCTGGTGGGAGCACTTTTAGCTTAGCTTAGCATAATTCATTGAATCAGATTAGACCATTAGCATCTCATTCAAAAATGATCAACTAGTGTCAATAATTGTGCTATTTAAAGCTTGACTCCTTATCCTTATATTAATTGATCCCTTAAAAATGGACGTGATTCATAGTAAAACTGAAAAGATATAGCAACAAACTACAATGCAGAACACAGCTTTTGGCCAAATTTGGGGCTTGCAGCGTTAAAACCCTATAGGAGGAGATTATCTTATAAGATAATAATCACATGTTTAAATGTTTTAAATAAATGTCTCAAGCCAACATAATACAGTAATAACAATAGTATGTAAATATAAACATAAATTTCACCCCCACCTTGCCCAAATATAGTTCATACCATTGTCAATTCATGAACGTGCCTATTAACTGATAGACTGTGTTCAAAATATGATTTTTTTTTGCAAAATAGATGCTTCTTTTTTTGTCATTGAACTTTTATTTGAACTTTATACCCCACACAACTTAAAATTCACAATACAAAATCAACATTGAGGAAAACAATGTAAACAAATTATAATAAAAATAATAGCAAACAAAAATGATAACAAATATAAAACAACTTAGTACAACAGACAAAATGACAACCCTTTAGTTTTCTTTTTACATGCTCTCCAAATATTGCAAAAAGCAACCCCATTTCTGATTGAAAGTATAGGAGGAATCCTGAAGTCTTGCCAACATACGTTCATATGATGCGGTAGAAGTCATCAGCATTGGTGGCCACATGCGTGGACAGCACATTTTAGCTCTTAAGTGGCTATTTAAAATACTTTAAATGTTTTACAGTTTGTTACAGACATAGTGTCATCCTGCAACTGTTTTGCAGCATATGAAATGTCCCAAACACTATTTTTAACTGTCAGATCAACTGAGGCCGTACTCACACTATGTACAGTTGCCTCGAACCGGGCCAAAGCACGCTTGTCCCCCCTCTCGTTTCCCCCGACGGCCTGCATTCACACTACAATCAGGCCTGGGCACGCTTGCGCCATCAATGCTGTGCTGTTCAGTGAGCGCTCTCACTCAGCACAGTTGAGATTTCTCTAGTTATATTGTTTCTGTTGTTTGATATGCAGTGACATGCAGTTAAATATTTCACCAAACAGTCCTTAGGGATGCATTGACACGCAGTCAGATATTTCGCCGAACAGATCCGCCACTTTTGGTGCTCATAAACAGTCATAAAGTCCTCATGCTGCAGGAGTGAAGAGGTCTGCTGAAGGTGCAGCTGTCGTGCAGTGAGGGGTTTGCGTATTTAATAAACTACGACAGTTTGTGTTCATTGAACAGTAAGATTGATTAATAAATCCATATGAAACAGTCCCTTAAAAGTCATGTCTCGCTTTCAGTTTTGGCCTTTGGCGCGTTTTGCACTCACACTACAAGCGTACCGCGCCAAAGCCCAAGTAAACAGCGCTCAGGCCCACCTCTTCCAACCGGGCCAAGGCCGGCCAAGTGAACCTTGCTTGAGCCCGATTCAGCGCACTCACACTTCTCAAACAATCCGGGAAACGGGCCTGGGCACTGCACAGATGGCATAGTGTGAGTAGGCCCTGAATGGATTGAAAAATTATACAACTCAACTGTAGGTGACTTGTAAAATTAAAATTAATCCAAAGAAAGCATAGCGTTCATTGAAGGTTGTGTAATTATAGCCCACTAATGTTGTAGCTGCAGTAGTCTGGCCAGTTTTATAGACATGTGAGTTTGCTCAGAGCTGTCAGGAATCAGAGGAAGTGTTCAGGTGGTTATTCTGGGTCTCAGACATCACGGCCGATTGCTCACAGAAAGCCCACGGACTGCCTGATGCACACCGCACACCAAAATAAAATAAAAATTGCGATCTTATAGGGCTGCTGTTGGCAGGTTTGGGGAGTCAGGATTGCAGAGGGTTTTTTTTATCAGCCTACCAGCTAGCAAAAGTTTTACTGTAAACTTTAAATCATGTACAGTGTGATGCATTGAGAGCCGAGAGGGGTTAAAAGTTTAAGATTTTGAAGATCAGGGTACATTTAAGTTGTTTTGTTTACTGGGAAACATATACTATGTTGCTTTTGAAAGATTTACTAAATCAAGAGAGTCGATCAAGAATGTTTATTGTCCTTTCGGTCAGCAACTCTTTTTGTAAGGCACACAATAAGACATAAATATATACAGTTTAAGTCAGAATTATTAGCCCCCCTGAATTGTTTAGCCACCTGTTTATTTTTCTCCCCAATTTCTGTTTAACGGAGAGATTTTTTCAGCACATTTCTGAACATATTAGTTTTAATATCTCATCTCTAATAACTGATTTATTTTATCTTTGCCATGATGACAGTAAATAGTAATTGACTAGATATTTTTCAGGACACTTCTATACAGCTTAAAGTGACATTTAAAGGGTTAACTAGGTTAATTAGGTTGACTAGGCAGCTTAGGGTAACTAGGCAAGTTATTGTATATCAATAGTTTGTTCTGTAGACTATCGAAAAAATATATAGCTTGAAGGGGATAATTATTTTGACATTTAAATTAAAAACTGCTTTTATTCAAGCCAAAATAAAACAAGTAAGACTTTCTCCAGAAGAAAAAATATTATCAGACATACTGTGAACATTTCCTGAATCTTTAAATCATTATTTGGGAAAAAAATATTCAAAGGGGGGCTAATAATTCTGACATCAACTGTATATATTAAGATAAAATAAAAAAGTACATCTTTAACGTTTTTAAAATGAAATATATTGTACAAAATACAAAATAAACCATGTGATTATTGATGTGAGAAGAAATATATAATATTGGACAAAATATATGACAAAACAATTAATATATTTAGGTAGATTTTTAGGTAGAAATTTTACACATTGACTAAAAAAAAAAAGTTCTGTGGATCATTCATGTAAAAGCAATGAGAATCAGGTATACATTCACTTGTGAATGGGGTCATTTTTCATTTATTTAACTATTTTTTGCTTTTATTTTCAAGTTTTACTAATATACTGTGTGCGTGCTTTTTTTCAGTTATTTCCTAGGTTTTGTTTAACAGATATATATATAAAATATAAAAATACTATAAAATGTTTGCAAATATATTTAAAACACATGCTTAGTGATATTCTGGTTTATCTGAAAAGCAATGCTAAAATGAGATATTCTGCCTTGAAAATGTGCGTTACGTGCCGGAACATCTGTCATTGTTTGGTCATTTTACCAGCCCAATGCCAGTTTAGGCATTACATTTCAGCACCCTGGGTTGCCTTTGTGGAAAACAGCGTATTTTATTTATTCAGTCATGAAGGATCTCAAAGTGTGTGTCTGCGACCAATATGCCACCTGTAGTGAACAGTAGCAGCCTCTGAAATGAGACGCAGATTCAGAGTTCCACATGAGGTAGTTATTAATTAGGAAATAATATAGATATTACGAATGTAAACATTAGGTGAGCAGGTTACATTGTGACCCTGTGTCCTAACAACATGCTACGTAAGGAGTAGCGTGTTGTTAGCAGTTTGGCTGTTTGCACCAGACAAAACACGACAGAAATTTAAATACAGCCCTTCAGAAGCACAGAATAGTGCACTCACTGCACTCCAACGAAACAGTAAGGTTTTTTTAAATTAATTAATACATATTAAATCTCTTTAACATGATAAAATGTAGATGCTGAATCACTGATATGTGTTGGTTTTCACTGAGTCACAGTTCTAAAGTTCAATTTCAAGCAGTTTGTTAGCTTAATAAAGTGCAATTTAAACACTAAACTAGGTTAAGTAGTTAAATTAGTTTTATAGTCAATCAGAACATTTATTTTACATAGGGCTAATAATAATGACTATAGCACTTTATATTATTATTATATTATAATATTATATTATATTATATTATATTATATTATATTATATTATATTATATTATATTATATTATATTATATTATATTATGTTATGTTATGTTATGTTATGTTATATATTATATTAAATTATATTATATTATATTATATTATATTATATTATATTATATTATATTATATTATATTATATTATACTATATTATATTATATTATATTATATTATATTATATTATATTATATTATATTATATTACATTTATTATATTATATTATATTATATTATATTTTTTATTTCAACCAAACAAATAGAAATAAGACTTTCTCCAAAAGACAAACATAATACTGTGAAAAAAGTCCTTGCTCTGTTAAACATCACTTGGAAAATATTAGAAAAATAATACAAATTTCACAGCATCAATGCATCTTCACATATAAATCAACTAATTATTATTACAAGTGCAGCCGCTGTGTAAAACATACGCTGGATAAGTTGGCGATTCATTCCGCTGTGGCGATCCCTGATTATTAAAGGGACTAAGCCGAAACAAAATTATTACAAGTATTACAATACTTTTTATTTTGTTTTATATAAGCAAAACTAGGCAGTTCATTCCGCTGTGGCGACCCCAGAATAACAAAGAGACTGAACCGAAAACAAAATGAATGAATGAATGAATGAATAGGCAAAACTACAGTTACAACTTCTCTCATCCATTTTTGGATTGTCTCTTTCCATTATAATCTTTTTGTCTGGTCTCAGAAACATTTCAAAACAAATTCATGTTGTCGTCCCCCAGTCTGGCAGAAATTGAATACGAGAACCATTTTGCATATTTTCACAGTTTTTTTGTTCTTTAATATGGTTTGTTTGAGAGATTTTGGCAGCCCGAAGACAATGGAAGATCCCAAAGCATCCAGAGCTAATTACAATAATTCCTTACAGGCCTTCGTACACACACATTACACTCCATTTGACAAGATTGTCAGTCATTTTAATCAGATTTAGCCTGGCGGAGGCTGCCGTAAACATTCATTCTCTAGTACATTCCAAAATATTACTTTATAAACATAAATTAGTCTGTTTGAAATGGTATTCAGAATGGAATGAAACTCGCTCTGGAGGAAAAAAGTTTTCGATTATTTGCTTAAAAGATATATTAGAAGTAAAATAACATGCAATTAAAAAAAATATTCAAAGATTAAATTATTTATATTATTCCAATTCTGAGGCATGGTGGCTCAGTGGTCAGAGCAAGAAGGTCGCTGGTTTAAGTTCCAGCAGGGCCTGTTGGCATTTCTGTGTGGAGTTTGCATGTTCTCTCCGTGTTGCTGTTCCTCCAGCTGCTCCGGTTTATTAAATAATTTATTTATTAAATAAAGAAAAGATTTGTGCAGCTTCTTCTACCGCAGTAAATTCTGTTTTTACAGTTGATTTTTGGCGCCAGCTAATCAGGAAGTGACGATTTAGTTCTCTGACTCGTTGGATGGAAACACTGCTTTATTCGCATATCTTTTATGCGATAATCCAGTTTTGCATATGAAGTTAATTAGCATTTTTTTATGGAATATAACTATTACCTACATTTTAGTCACACAAAAAACAAAGTTACGAGAATGGCTTGTCCTTTTTTGAATGAATAATTATCATCTTATATATCTTATAATTATCAAGGATATGGATTGTAACTAGATTAATGGGATTATTACTCGTTCTAAAAATTATTTTTTAGTTCCTGCTTGCATTCTAAATGTCATATCAAGCTCTACCGCTGATTAATAATAAAGGCAGACACTCAAGTGCACTTTTAAATCTATTAAAAACTCAATTTTAGGAATGTTATCTTAAACTGATCAACGTGTGTAAAAGTTTGAACATTATGGTCAAATATGCTAATATTTGCTATAACTTTGCATGAGCACATCTGCTGGAGAAAGAAATGCTGATTTCTTTTTTCAGATGTTCTCATGGTGACTCGTAATATCTGAGCTTCATTGATAATGCCTTTTTTCCTCCCAAAGACTTCCATTCATATGCACGCGAATGCGTCAGACGGGAAATGCAGGGTGATACGTTAAGTTTCCCAGGTCGCTGCGATGCAAAGTTCAAGCTTGGTGAACTCTAACCTGCGAATTCGCATCACTTGACTGCTTGAGACCAATCGAGGATCAAAACATGACCTCTCTGGGCAGAAATTTAAAACATGGAGCAATCGCTCGCTTTTTTAAATGTCTAATAAGCTAATTAATCCTGCCCCTTTTTGCAGCGCCGCACGACAGAATATCGCACACACAAACTCTAGTGTGACCGCAGCTTTAGTCTACTCAGATCAGCTGTTCTAAACCGAAAACTTTAACAAAGTTTTTAATCTCTCGGTAAGTCAACTCAGAGTTCAAGTTTAAACTCTGAGTTGGTTGAACCTCCTTACTGAAACAGGCCCCTGTAGGCTACTGCAGACTTGTGGACTTCTTAAAGTTTGACTGCAGAACAACCAGCACATCTCAATAAAGAATTCTGTTTGTCGAGTCTCCTGGTTTGGGTTCTCATTTTTCCAAAAACTCTGAATGCTGAAATCCTTTAACCACTGACTTCCTTAAAAAACAAATACCATGGAGGTTTATGGTTACAGAATATCTTCTATCGTGGTTAAACTTTTAACGGTTTCAAACAAGTAAAGGATAAGTAAATTATGATAGATTTTTTATTTTTCGGTGAACTGAAATCCCTTTAAGCCTCAGGGTTTCCCTTCCCTCATTAAAAAAAGTCTTTTGTAATGGTGAACCTGAAATTTTGCAACAAACACTTCCTGAGGATATCCTCTTTGTTTGGTTTAGCTATGTGTGTGCATGGCATTGCTAAATCAGAGGTGATATAAGGAGCCAAACCGCATGAGAAATCACTGAAGTGAAGCCCTAATAAAGCGATTGACTCTTTTAATTGAAAAGCAGCTGCAGAAAAGAAGGGTCCACCTTTCAATTAAAAGAGCCATTGACCTTATTGACATGGCCGTCGTCTGGCCTTCACCATAGTCCTCCGGGGCGAGCATTAGCTGCAGCAACATGCAGATGCATTCTATGGGATTCTGAGCTAAAGAGGAAACCCATAATTGTTTTTATTTATGAGAATATATTGCTAATTGACATCATGTCTGTCTGTCTGTCTGTCTTCAAGAAGCTTTTTCTATCATTGTATTGGTCTCTTATTCTGTTTTGTATCTGCCAATCCTCATGTTTGTCCACCTGTCTATTTTTTGCCTGTGCATTCATCTGTTGATCTCTCTGTCTATCTGTTTTTATTAGAGAGAATGGTCTATGTCTAGCCATCTATCTGTCATTCTGTGTCATTTACCGTATAGGTTCTGTCGGTTTTGTCCATCCATCCATCCATCCATCCATCCAATCACCTAAACAACCATCAATCAAACCAGCCATCTGTTCGTCCGTTCGTCCTTCAATCCATCCATCCATTCATCCATCCATCCATCCAACCATCCAT